AACAGATGTCTGGGTAGTTAGTTTCCTGTTACTACCAGGTCTTATGTTTTGGATATTTCTGTGATTTGTTCTATAAATGACTTATCCACCCCCTCCTCCTGATTTGGTGGTCTGTAGTAGACCCCTATCGTGACATTCCTATTGTTTACCCCTTCTATCTTTATCCTAAGACTCACAACTGGTCTGCCTCTCACCTCCTTCTGGCCCTCAGAACAAGTGTGTATATATTGATATATAATGCAATACTGCCTTTATCCTGCCAGCCCTATACCGTTATTCCAATCATGACACTTTTCCCACCAAGTCTCTGTGATGGCAGTTAAGATAATTTAGCTTCCAGTTCCTCCTGTTGATTCCACTTACTCCTTTCATTTGTATATAGACGACTAAGATGTTGAGCAGATTTTTTTTCCCCACTGATTTCCCCTTGTTACTCCTATAACCCTATTGTAATTTTCCATGTTTCCCCCACCCTCAACATGGAGGAGCCAACTTCTCTGCTTACTCTCTCCTCTCAGTTGGGGTGTTCTCTGGAGGTGCCATCACTAGAGATGTCTTGGGAAGGTGGCCAGACACTATCCCAGGTTTCCCCACTTCAGCGAGGTGCCCAGCTACAAAGGAAACGGCACAAACACTGTTAGGTTTCTTCAGACCATGCAGTTTGTTCGAATGAGTAAAATCCCTGATGAAGGTGTGAAATGGAACAACCCCCCAGTCCTCCCCTGCAGGCCCGCCATCCTCTGCATAAGGCACTGGGAGGAGGAGAGGTGGGGTGTAAGGCTAGATTGGAAACCAAGCATAACATTAAAATATATGTAAGCATTTTGGAAGCAATCTGTCCCCTTTATTTGGGGAGAGCGTGACATGGTCTTTATCAGGAGTTTGCCAGCCATGGGTGCCAACCAACTTCTTCAATGGAAGGTCTCAGGATCATGTCTGGTTCCAAGAGGCTTTTCAGGAGATCCTGGCATTCGTCTGAGATCTCCAGGTGCCCAGGAATGGAGACCCCTTTCTGCTGGTGGCACAGCATCTTGGGGATGTTGGTGTCGTCAAAGGGGAGGCTAGCGCACAGCATAACGTACAGAATAACGCCCATGCTCCAGATGTCCCCTTTCCGGCTGTCATGGGGCACGCCCTGGAGCACCTCAGGTGCAGCGTAGGCAGTGCTGCCGCAGAACGTTTGACTCAGCTCCTTACGATTCTTTGGAAGCAACTTTGCGAATCCAAAGTCAGTCAGCTTCAAGTTAAAGCCTTGCAGCAAGGCGTTCTCACACTTTAGGTCCCGGTGCGCCACGCCACAACTGTGGCAGTAGCGGATCGCGTCTACCAGCTGGCGGAAGAGCACCTTGGCGCGGCTCTCGGGCAAAGGACCTCCGTGCAGAACGCAGTCAAAAACGTCCCCGTCTTCTGCCAGCTCCATCACCAAGTAGATCTTCCCATCGGCAGACTCCAGCATCTCGTACACCCGGATGATGTTCTTGTGATCCAGGCGCCTGACGATCTGGAGCTCTCGAGGCAGGAATCTCTGGATAAATTCTGAAGAGAGAGAAGACAGATTCATTCAAGGCATGGGAAATCTCAAGGGAGCCGCTAGCTACCGAGAAGAGTGTGTATTGTCTTTCATGGATGCAGTATCTCTGCAGTGCCTGGGGCTTTTGGCCATTCAATGGAGGCTGCCTTGTAAAGGGGGGCAGGGGCCCTGTTTGTCACAAACTGGAGCTAAAAGGAGGCGCTTTCCCATTCATAACCCTGGGAACGTGGCTGGTTGTAAAGTGATCACAGGGTCAGCACTGTAACATATTTACTTTCAGTTGGCTTCATAGATCTTAGGGCTAGAAGCCATAATTCTGATCCTCTTGACCAACCTCCTGCATATTGATTTCACATCCGATTCCTGCATCCAGCCTCATCTTTTGTAGCTGAACTAGAGCAGATCTTTCAATTGATTAACGGACAACGACAACAACAAACCTGTAGAACTTATGCCCCCTTAGCAGCTTTCTGCTTTCCACAGGGAAAACCCTGTTTTCATGGTTTTACTCTGCTTTGCGAGGAGGTGTAGTTGTTAGAATCTTTTATCTGATTGTGGCTTTAGTCTAGGACACAGATCTGGCCAAGTAAATACCATTATGTGCTATAGGAGGTGATCTGAAAGGCACTGCGGTTACCCCAACCTACGAGCCTGGTGAGCTGGCTAGAGGAGGGTCTGGGTTGAATTCTTGTACACATGTTCTACAAGGAAATCAGAGCCATCTAAGTGAATCCGGCCCCCTTTGCATCCAGTAAGCTACTGCACCGCCCACCAGTTGGTGGGGAAGATGAAGAGTGGGTAGTCTGTGAAACGCTGGCAGCAGACCCTCCAACTGAATTGGAGGCAAGAGGGAAAGTCCCCTGCCTTGGAGGAGCTCTGGAGAGACCAGCCTCCCCTAGGAACCCACCTCCTAGTCAACCTTTTATTTTAGTTTAATACATCCAGTAGGGAAACCTGAAATGTGTTTTGTTAGGAAAAGTTTGTGGCAAGTCACCGATCCTCCCCTGATGAGATAATGTGGAAGACGATGTGAGAAGATTCTCATAGTACTTCTCAGGTAAGTTTTCCCCTCCAGAGGGTTTTTCTGCACAAGGGAAAAAGTAGGCCCTAAGCAAAGCAGTGGAGATATTTGGTACTATGCACAGTTAAGTGCGCCAATACCTTGATGCCTGGCAAACTACAAGACTAGTTCAAACCGGAATTATTTTGGGGAAGTTCTCTAGCCTGTTACAGAGAAGGTCATAGATTCTTCTAAGGCCAGAAGGGACCATTGTGATCATCTAGTCTGACTTCCTGTATGGTACAGGCCAGAGAACTTCCCCAAAATAATTCTTAGAGCAGAGCTTTCAGAAAACATCCAATCTTGATTTAAAAATTGTCAGTGATGATGAATCCACCGTGACCCTGGGTAAATTGTGCTAACGGTTCATTACTCTCTCTGTTAAAAATGTATGCCTTATTTCCAGTCTAAATTTGTCTAGCTTCAACTTCCAGCCGTTGGATCATGTTAGACCTTTCTCGGATAGACCGAAGGAGCCCGTTATTATTAAATATTTGCTCCCCATATAGGTACTTATAGACTGTGTGATCAAGTCACCTCTTAACCTTCTTTTTGTTAGACTCTAAGAGCGCAATCCAGTTAGTTTATCACTAGGCAGGTTTTCTAATGATTTAATCATTCTCATGGCTGTTCTCTGAACCCTCTCCAATTTATCAACATCCTTCTGGAATTGTGGGCATCAGACCTGGACACAGCATTCCAGCCGCAGTTACACCAGTGCCAAATACAAAGGTAAAATAACTTCCCTACTTTTACTCGAGCGTCCCCTGTTTATGCATCCCAGGATCACATCAGCTCTTTCGGCCACAGCATCACACTGGGAGCTCATGTTCAGCAGATTATCCCATGACTGGATGATCAGAGTGGTCCCTTGTGGCCTTAGAGTCTATGAATATTCCTCAGCCATCTAACCCAGAACCGCCTCCCAGAGCTGCCTCTTACCTTCCGGGCCCCCCATCTTATCAATAATTTTAACGGCCACTTTCTGCTGGTGCTTTTTTGAGAAGGCCTCTTTCACTTTTGAGTACGTCCCCTCCCCAATGGTCTTGCCCAGCTGGTAGCCATTGGAGAATAAAAACTCCTCCATCTCCTCTCTGAATTTTGGACTGGTCATTCTCTCAGGTCATCCTGTAGATGCTGGGAGATGACATCTCTGTGCTCTGCTTCTCTCCCTAACCAGGGCCTGCAAGAGTTGCAGCCCTGGACGCTAGATCATTTTCCTGCCTAGACAAAGTCCCGTGATGACGGGGGCAGCTGGGGCGGGATATTTTAAAACTTTCAGCCCCTATTATGATGTAACCTTGTGTTGCATGGGTCAAAGGGGTTGGATTTGCACCAATCAGGGGGCGAGCACCCCAAATGGGCAGTTACTTAACCTGCCCACAACCCTGCACTGAGTCACTCCAGGCACAGCGATGGGATAAATCTCCAGAGACCTATTGGTGGGGATCGTGGGTAAGGGGCTTCTAGAGCCGAGCGCTACACAGGCTTTGGCATAACGAACAGACCCCAAATACTCCCCAGCCTGCTGCTGTATCATCACTAAATGTGCAGATCTGACCAAGTTTTCAAGGCTGGATCCAAGTGAATTTGAGGGTGCGGGAGGGAGGGTCCAGACCAGACCTCAAATGAATACAAGGGCTGGGATGTCTGTTGTTTGTATTACATAGTGCTTAACAAAACTACCTAGCTCTCATCTAGCAGCTTTCAGCCATAGATCTCAAAACGCTTTACAAAGGTCAGTATAATTAACCTCATTTTACAGATGGGGAAACTGAGGCAGAAAGAGGGAAGTGACTTGTTCAAGGTCACCCAGTGGCAGAGCCAAGAATTTAACTCAGGCCTTCTGAGACCTGGCTCCAGCCAATAGGCAACACTGCTTCCTTTCTCTAGGGACCCTTTGTCCTGGGCATTGCACAGACATGGAACAAGTGACAATCCCTGTCTCAGAGCTCACAGTCTGAGTTTGATCAGATGGACCTGGTTGGTCAAACAAATTGGCAGGATGGCTTTATTTGTTTAGTTTCAGTTTCCAGGACAGGGTAAGAGTCCAGGGTGAGGGGCTACCCCAGATCCCGCTCTAAACCCCACATTGTATCCCCACAGGGATCAGCTTCCAGGAGGGAGCAAAGATCAACCCCAGATACATCTCTGATCTGGGCACGGTCAAGGAAGGGCCCTCCTCGTCATGAGACCCAGAGCTTTTGGGGAAACCCGGGGCCAGCAGAGGCAGTTCCTCTGTTCATCTTCACAGCACGGTGGGGCTTTGACCCAAGACTAGCCCTAGATGTGAACTAGGTCACTGGGGCTCCTAGCTGCCACCGCAGTCCAAATAATAAATTGTAAGCAAGAAGGCCTGGGCCTGAGTCTTGTGCCCGGGAGAAGGGAGAAGGTCGTACCCCGCCACTCACGAGTTGTATTGTGATGTCAGAGCAGCCCTTCCGTGTCACAATGTAACAGCCTCCGTGCCTCCCACTGGCCCCCATCACATCTTGCCCTTTGCACTAGGCACTGCAGGCTGCCAGGTTTATTCCTGGGAACCCTCTTGAGCTTTCAAGAGGTGAGCCTAGGCCAGAGAAGGGTGTGGCAGCTTGGGGCAGGGGTAGGCCTGAAATCGTGGGCTCACCCTGCCCAGTCACACAGGTTCTGACCTTGGTCCTTCTTTTACTCAGACAGGTCTGGGGCTAGGACATGAGCTCCCAGGAGACCCCACAAGCTCGGAGATTCCCCATAGAGGCAGGAGATTCTCCCAGCCTGGCAGCTGCTCCAGAGACCCAGGAGCCAGTTGCCACTGAGCACACTGCAGCAAGGTAAGGGCAGCTGCAGCAGCTGTCATTGCTATGAGTCAGCTGGTGCCCAGTGCTTGGGAGGAAGGCATACAGCCTCCAGAGCCATACAGGGGGGAGTGGGGTGCTTACTTCCTGACCCCAGTTAGCAATCCCGTTCTGCCCTGAAGCATGAGAACAGATGCACTTCCTAAACCTTCCTCTTGATGCTGTAATGGCAGCTGCTGTGCTTAGATGTTGCTATGAACGGCCCCCCTTTGGGATGGTCTGGCCCCCCCAGCTTCCGTGTCTTACAGCAGCAAATTCCCCCAGGAAAGTGAAGCTTTCAAGGCTTAGAAATAGGTGTGTTGCCCTTCTAATTTTCCCAAGTTCCCCCTTTGTGCCTGTTTTACAGGGCAGAGTGAATAGGAGCCATGGTCCCTTCTCTCCCCCTTTCGCTAATCTCTGCACCTCCTCCAGGTCTCCCCGCTTCTTCTTGCCATGCTGCGTCCCTGCCAGGGCCGGCTCACCAGCCCATTCCACTCAGAACACGCTGGGCTTCTGTAAAGGGCCAGGGATGAGCCCAGAGGGCCGAGGGCTGCGTTCAGGAGCCAGTGGAACTGCACCCCTTTTTCTCCAGGCCCACCCTGGCCTGTGATCTCTACAAATCAGGCTTTGGGGGACGATGAAAACCGCTGCCGTAGTCATCCTGCCCCAGATCAGTGTCACAGCGAGTTCCACGCCCTGTGCCCAAGGGAAAGGGAAGGAAACCTGCCTCCCCCAACACCTGCTCCCTGAGGGGGTTAGGATGGCTGTCAGCTGGCTAAACCATTCCGGGCGGCCCCAGAAGCTGGGGCTGTCGCCTGGCCTGGCTTGGAACATGCAGCCAGACTCGGAGCCTGTTGGTCGGAAGAGTTTGTTGGCATCTGATTTGGCCCCAGGGACGACTTTAGGGAACTGTGGGCTGAATCCTGTACAATGGGGCTGAGGCAGGGGCCCCAAAGAAAGTCAAAATGAGGAAACCGGTTTGCTGCCTCCCCTCCATCAGAGAGCGAAGGCTGTGGGTCAGACACTTCTATTGAGGCCAAGTAACTAACTCCAAGCCAGACCTCCCTGGGCTGTAACAGAGCTATACCCTCTAGCTCTCCCTATGGGCGCAAGCCTTGTACCTCAAGTTTTGCTTGCTTGCTGCTGCTGCACTTCATTCTGATGCAATGTCTCGCCCTGCCTCTCCCCTTGTCATAGCTGATCAGACAAGGGCAAAATCAAACCCACCCCCTGCCGTAACTGGCGCCTCTGGGGGAATCGGGGCTACAATACATTGGCCTCTATAGGCTGCAGCAAGCGGAGAGATGCAAGGAGGAGCAGGCTCCAGATGCTCAGCTAGAGCGAGGAGCACAGCGGGGGACAAATCGGGCAGGGGCTGCTGGGTTAGTGAGGGGGGTACGTGGGCCAGAGGGTCCGTTTAGAAAGAGAGCTGGGTGCAGAACCGATTTGCTGGTAATTCCACAAAGTAAAAAACAAACCGTTTTGGGTCAAACAAGAAGTTTTGTTTTGATATTGGCCCTGTTTTACCAGTTGTGATCATTTTTTAAATAAAATGACAGGACATTTTGAAGTGAAAAGTGATTTCGAACTGAAAAGTTTAAACCTTTCATTTAGAAAACGTCAAAACAAAGCAGCTGAGTTTGTCTGAAATTGTTTCGATTTCTTCCCACCCAGGCAACGGGGTGAAATCCACAGGGAGTCACAACATAGTTCAGTGTCACAGGAGCGGCATTTAGCACCAAAAAAATGTTGTGCAATTTTTTTGCCCGGCTCGGTCTATAAACCTAACAGACTGGTTGTGAATGGAACCTTCTTCTCTACTGGTCAGGTCTTTAATCACCGGACGACGACCAATGCTGTAATTAGCACCCCATCTCTATGGCAGTTCCACCTGTACCCTTAACACATCTGTGGCTCTACTGTGCACTTTGCCTCTTACTAGCTTATAACATTGAGGACATGGCCCAGGTTGGGCATTTCTGGGCTGAGGGCCCTCACCATGCTGAGATCGCTGCCTGGAAGAGACTCTTTCATTACTTCCAAGCGCCGACTTCCTCCCACTTATTGCCAACCATCAGGGCTTGGCTGCGACCCCTTGGTTGTTATCTCTTCAGGCACATGGTCTCTGTGCAGGACCTGCGTCCCATCTAGGGCTGACTTCTGCATTGAGGGCCTTTGTTAAGGGGAGCATTTGGGACGGGGTGAGGGGGAGGGTTGTCCTTTTTCTGCCAGAAGATTCCTAAGGCAGAAAATTCCAGAGTGGCCATCAATTCCAGCTCCAGGCTGCTAGCAGCTGACAGAGAAGCTGGATATGGGGGGGGGGGGGAAATGTATCCCCCTAAACCTTCCCTCCCTGCATAAAGCCGGAGGAGGACAAGAGCTCTGAAGGACCCTTTGTGGAGTATGTTCAACTAGCCAGATGGGTTCTGATCCCTGGGCAGCTGGCCGAGGGCTCTGGGGATCTGCACCCCTCATGGTAGTGAATATGCCACTATTAGACCATGCACCTGTGATGCTGAGGGGCTCAATCTGTGGCTTTGCACAACCCTCCTGGGAAACTGGACTAACCTCTCTCTCTCTCATTGTGCAGGCAGCTGAGAAGATGCCCCGGGTGCCACTGCCTGACCCTGCCCAACGTTCCTATTGACGTTTACATTGCTATGGGCGGGAACAGGAGGCCACGGACCACCTAACGGTTCCCCTGAGTTGGGCTCGAGTGCTGAGACCGCCGAGCTGGTCACCCGAAACACCCTGACAGCTGGAGAACCGCAAAGGACGCCGCCACACAAAACAGTGACGCACATTTTAATAAAAGGACATCTTAGAATGTTTCTGTGGGCGTCGTTCCTTTGCTGCGGCTCGGCTCGCTGTGCTGCCCCGGACTGCGCCCAGAGAGCAGGAATTCTCCCGTCTTGCTATGGGATCACATGGGCCCCCATCACTTGGAGAGGGTTCACAGCAAAACAAGCCGTTCGGGCTGGGTCTGCAGAATGAGGTCACTGCATTACCCCTCAGTCCAGCAGAGGGTGCTGTGGTCCTAGCTCACTGGAGAGGGTCTTGAATGAAGCGGGTCCATGCTCTGCCTAGGTGTATTCCCCTCCCTGGAGTGTCTCTCTCCCCTCCAGCACCAGCTATGGGGTGCAAGGGAGACCTGCCTACTCTGACTCTTAGCCTCAGGTTCCGGCTTTCTCTACTCCTGTCCAGCCGATGTGCTCTGGCTTGCCTGGCACGAGGCTCCGCAACCTAGGGGCAAGCAGAGTGCATCAGCTCCTTGCCTCCCAGCTCCCCCCCCTTGCACCTCCAGCCGTAAGGCCGGGTTTGGCTGGGTGGCAGCATCAGCAGCTGCCTCCTCCATCCCTGAATCTGACCCAGCTCCTAGCAGGTTGGTGGGGAGGGCCAGGGGGAGACTAACTTGGCTTTTGTTGGAGGGCCTCATTTGGAGATGAGACACCTTTTGGAGGGGTTTGATTTAGGGGAGGGAAAGAGGCTGGATGTGGGAGCAGGTTGGGGTGGGGAATGAGTGATTGTGGGGGGAGGGGTTGATTTTGGAGAAGGGGAGCATGGATTGTGTAGGGGCCAAATAATTGGATTGCGGGGTGAGCTGTGCCATGGGGAAGCCCTCCCCAAATCATCTCCACAGGGGCACTGCCAAACTAGCTTCAGCATCCAGGGTGGGAGAGCGAGGCAGAGGGGGCCCTGGTGCTAAGTGTATGTCCTATGCAAACTGCTTCTCCCAGGCTTTTTCGTGGGTCACAGCAGGCAGATCTGGCTGCTGGTAATGGGTGGAGGTGAGAATGGGGGTAGGGAGGCGGCAGCAGCTGGGTCACACAGCCCAGCTTGTCCTGGGCAGGAGATGCGCTAGCCTGGCCTTTCCCTTAAGGTGGCATGTGATGCCTGTCATGTCCTGCCTCCAAAGTCACATGACTTAGCCAAGAGGATGCACGCTGGGTGCTATGCCTCTGTCCTTGAGAAGTTTGAGACCAAAGGGGAGAGCGGATTTGCCCCCTCTCTGGGACCCAGCTGCTTCTCCCACAGCCCAGCATGGGTCTCCCTCCTTGCTCTGCCCTGATGCATTTGAGTAACTGCAAAGAGTTGATTAAAGGGCACCCGTGAGTGGCTGGTGCAGAGAGGATCCCACTCCTCCACCCCGGGCCGGGCTTAGTGAAACACCCAAGGTTGGAGCCAGCCCAGGTGCTGGCCCAGCTGACATGGGCTTGTTTTTCCTCTAATCTTAGCTTGTATCTAATCTTATAGAAACAACCAATTGGGCACAAAGAGCAGAGCAAATCCAGCTGCCTCTGCCCAGCAGCTTGCAGGCTCCCTGCAGAATGGAGAAAGGGTCCCCTGTGATGGGCACTCCCCTCAGCCCTTGCCTTTCCCAGCTTAGAGTCACTACCGGGCTGCTCTTGGGGAGACCCCTTTGTCCCTCTTCTCTGGCCTCACTTGCCTTCCCAGGCTGTGTGCACCTGAGCCAGCTGTGCAGGAAGTTGCTACCTCAGCTCCTGGAGCATTTGTAGCCGGTAACAGAACTTGCTATGCGTCACTTTCACAGAGATGCAGGAAAGTGGGTGGCCACTGGCTTTCCTCCGGCCCTACCAGCCTGGAACTAACACTGATCTTCTGTGCTCGGCCACAACAAAACTTTGCTTTTAAGCCCCGTGTTAGTCCAATCAGCTGTGAGAGTTCACCGTGTTCTGGGCTCCCCTAATGGATGACTGGCCACAGTCCAGGCTGGCTCTGTGCATGTCTGTGGCATTTCCACTTTTCTACCTTCTATAGAGCTATGCCCTGCGACGGCTGCCCTGTGACACTTCGGAACGGAACTTCTCCCTTCCTGCCAAAGACGAAGTCTTTATTTTTGTTCTTCGCTCCCCTGAACAAGCTGGTTTTGGAAAATGGTTGAAGCAAACGTGTACCTGGGACATGTCTTTGCTTTAATCCAGGGTTAGCCAGTGGTTGGGATTTTAATGTTTAATCTTCAATCCACAAGGTGGGGCGGGGTCGGCTTCGCTCCAGCCTTGCACATGGGATAGACCCTTACAGCTGTGCAAAATGGGTGTAACTAGCATTCTGATTTGGAAGCAGTTAAGTGACATATTCCAGGTGAAAGGCAGGGGGGAATCAGGACCCTGGACAACCCGCTGTTCTTGACCTAAGAAGCCTTCCGTGAAGATAATAAACAGCAGTGACATAAGTAAACTGTACATACGGAACTACCAAACCATTCTTCTCAAGGAACTATAATAGTTTCTCAGTGTTTTTGGGTGAGGCTTTGCTCCTGTTCCTCTAATTCCTTCACTGCCAATCCCACCCTTTGTCCATTGATCAGCAGGTTATTTAACTGGGGACCTCTGTGTGTGTTTGCATTGTGATAAGAACAGGCTGCTTGGTCTCCACGGTCTGAAGAAAGAGGTGAGTAAGAGAAGAGAGACCAATCAGCCCCCAGCTCACAGAAGATTGACCAGCCAGAGCTTCATGGGAGGGGATGTTGACTTGTGCTCCAGTGTATTGGTAAAGTTTGCTGGAGCATGTGAGGCTAGCTTCCAAGCTGGGATGTGTATCTGACCAGTTCTGCAGGGCCTGGCTTGCGTACAGTACAGCCAGACGATGCCACTGAGGTGGGGCTGGGGATGTCATGCTGTCCCAGGAACCGTAAACCAGTCTGTCACTGATTAAGGATGTTTGGCCAGTGGAACTCTACGGTGTTATCACTGCATAGAGATCATGCTCCTCTCTAACCAAAGGAGGATGCAAAAACCCGGAGTGACTAGCTGGCACCTGGGCCCCCTGCCCTTCTCCTTCCATGTCTAATAGAGCCAGAGGAAGGATCACCTTAATGCTGATTTCTCGAGGGGAAGGAGAGAGAAGTGCCCCCAGCAACCTTATGAGTGGGAGGTACATGTGGGTTGTATGTGACTTATCCTTGGCAGAGCTATGACAAAGCCCTTCATTGGGAGTGGCCGAGCAGCCAGGGCTGGAGAGAGGGACTGATAGGCAGTGGAAGGGTGCAAGCAGCAGCTGTGCCTCATCAACGGGGAAGCCATCAAAAAAAAATTAAGGCTGCCCATGGGACAGAGTCCATGGGAAGGAGGAGAGCTTCCTCCCATGCAAGAGGAGATGGCAAATCTGAAGCTGGATTGTCTCCTTTATGTGCACCCCCCCAACCTCCTCCCCCCACACCCCTCTTCCTTTGAAGGTTAGAGGAACACAACTGGAAAGGAGCTGCCTCCTCCAGCTAGGGTGAATATTCTTGGGAAGAATTTTATTCTGTACCACCGCCAGCAACTTCCTTTTCTCTTCACTCTATTAACAAGAGGAGAACAAACATCAGCCATTTCCCCGGGTTCTTTCTACAGGATGCCCTAAGCGCTCTACGAAATCACTCCCACCTCCCGTAGTGAGTCAGCAGAACCCACTTAATCCTCTCCCAGCAGGCTTGATGCTGCTAGCATAACACACAGCTGTTTTTTGGGGGGGGAATATGGGCAGGCTCAGTCCTGCACTCTCTCCAGCATGGAATACACTTAACAATACTTCCTACCACAGACAGCAAGAAAATGTCATTCGCCTGGATGTGTAAATCCCCCTTGCCCGCAGAGACAAGCAAACAGGCTTCAAACACATAAGGACATAAGATCTCTCTCCTGCCATTCATCTCCACTCTCTGACAAACGGAGGCTAGGGACACCATTCCTAACCCATCCTGGCTAATAGCCATTCATGGACTTAACCTCCATGAATTTATCCAGTTCTCTTTTAAACCCTGTTATAGTCCTAGCCTTCACAACCTCCTCAGCAAGGAGTTCCGCAGGTTGACTGTGCGCTGTGTGAAGAAGAACTTCCTTTTATTTGTTTTAAACCTGCTGCCCATTAATTTCATTTGGTGGCCCCTAGTTTTTATATTATGGGAACAAGTAAATAACTTTTCCTTATTCACTTTCACTCGCACATTTCCTAGGGCTGGGTGGGTAGTGATGCTGGAGGAACAGTTACTGGGCGCAGTCAGAATTGGAACAGGATAGATCAGGGAATGAGTCATGGGATATGGAGCCTTTCACCTCTGGGTCCCAGCTCCAGTCTGGGTCGGGTGGCAAGTAGCAGAAAGTCGTTGCACTGAAGTCTGTTGGGACATGTGCTGTGGGACTAGCTTCGGGTGGGTGAGAGCGGCCAGGCCTAGGCTGTGCAGAGGGGGATGCTGGTGCTGGAGTGAAGGGGAGGTTCTGATTGGCCAGAATCAGCCAGCCTGGTCCAGAGGAGGAACTGGAGGAAGCAGGATGTCAGCCAAGGCTGGCAGGAGCAGGGGCCGGGGCAGGGGTCAGGGCAGGGGTCAGGGCCGGCGGGAGCAGGGGTCAGGGCAGGGGTCAGGGCCGGCAGGAGCAGGGGTCAGGGCCGGCGGGAGTAGGGGGCAGGAGCAGGGGTCAGGGCTGGGGGGAGTACGGGTCAGGGCAGGGG